GGGGGGGGGGGTGGAGTGCTGGTGATTCAATTCTCCAAGGTCAGATTTCTGTTCCAATTCCAAAGGGATCTGTCTGGATTTAGATAATGAGATTGAAAAGAGGTGTGCAAGCTAGTAAAGGTTGATTCTACAGATAAAACTCAAGCCAATTCCTCAATACCTTTAGACGAGTGTAAACCTCGCAGATAAGGTTCTGTAAGGAATGCTTCCGCAGTGACTGGTGCACAGTAACTGTTAGCCATTTTTAATCACCAAAATACTTGGTTCTCCCTGAATGGAAAATCAAACTGCTGACAAGCCCCTTGTTTGCAGATCTGGAGCAGCCACAGGCAGCAGGGGAGCCACACAGGAGAAAGCACTTCTGGTGTTCTGCTCGGGGCTGGGGACAGCACCAGGGCCCGTGGCTATGGAAACGGTCTCTCCAACAGTCTCTGGCAACTCCCCCGGCAACCAGCGCCGAATGTGCGTAAGGGGCTGCGGTTTCTTATTTGTTTCTGACTTGAGGTATATTTAGTTTCACAGAGTCACTGTTCCCTAAAGTCTGCGGCCAGCGAGATGCTGCTCCTTCCATTTATACAGCCTTCCATCTGCCTGCTTTCAGTGACGCGGAGCCCCAGCCACCCAGATCCGGGGGCGAAGGTGGAGCGTGGCAGGCGGCGAGGAGCCGGCAGAGGGCGCCCACGCCTCGCCTCCTACTCAGAAGGGGCTGGCGCGGGGAAGGCGCCAGGAAGGGGGAAAACACTCCGGTGTCGGATGGGAGAAGATGGAGACCTTGTAAAATCAGGACGGAGAGGCATTTTCCACTCAGAAGTGCTGACAACGGCTTTCCAAGTTTCTCTCTTCTACTCAATGAGATGTAAGTAAACATGTTTTTGGAGCGTACATTGTTTAGGGGTGGGAACGGGAGTGGATGCCAGTCCCTTTTACACGTGGGCTTTTTTTTTTTTTAAAACGTGGTTCCTCCTCAGGTATGTGCTGGAAATGATCGCCCACCCAGGCCAGGGTTTCCAGGACAACCTTAATCTTGCGTAATTGCCTCATTTCCGATAAAAGCAAATCTTTAAATATAAAGCTGGAAGAAGGTGGTTTGATCCCCTTTTTTCCACTCTGAAACCCTTGTGTATGTAAATAAACTCCCAAGTCAGAAAAAAGACCCTTTTGTCAGCCCGCAGCCCTGGCCTTTTCTTTAAGGCAGGTCATCGTCACGCTCCACACACCTCTGTGAGTTACGACACCCGGCTCTGCTGACCGTGGGACCCACGCTTAATGGACCGAGGCCATTATCTGCCATCAATTACCCACATTTCCAACACGCGTGCAGCCCCTCACCGACTTCAGTTCTAAATATACAGTTAGATTCCAGAGCTTTTAAAAAAAAAAAAATACACTTCCATACCAAGCTGACCATATTCAGGGCACCCAAAGGAATAGAGGTTTCCCTTGCAATCCATTATCATGCTGAATTCAGCCCCGCAGGCCATTTTGGTAATTGGCTGGCCGTTGTACATTATCTGAAAAGACAAGGCAGACAGTAGACGTTCAGACCATTTTTTTTGAAAGACTGACTGAAAAGTCTCTACCTCTCTGGTTCGTGTTGAAACAATTACTAGGCTACAAAAGAAATTTAACGGACTCAACAATTCTGAAGGCAAAAGCTGAGGATATAGATAAAGGAACACACCCTCGTGACCCCGACCTTCCCACCTGAGTCAGGTTCAAAGACGGGTACACTGTGTCTCAGGTCTTTGTAACTTGAACCCTCAAAACAGCCAACACTGAGCCTCACACGTCCCGGTGCCCAGTGACCTCGGGATGCTGCTGACCAGTGTGGACATGAGGGGGAAATTCACCAACACTGAACCCTCAAATCTCACTTTAGCTAAAAAAAAAAAAAGTTCGGCCCTGACTTTCCAAAGGAAAGCTTTTATAAGTGTTATTGCCAACCAGTAAAGTGAACTAATTGCACGCTCTCCATTACCTCTGCAGAGATTCTTGACCAACGGTCTTAACTGAAGGTGTGAACGACAAATAAACTGGCTGAAAATTAGACGTCAGAAGACAGCAGAAGACAGCAGAGGCCCTGAGCAACTGAGCATGGGGTTTGGAAACAAATCTAAGACAGTACTGAGAAAGCTTCCTATTTCCTGTAACGCTGCTCAGCCTGGGAAAGCCCCCGACGAGGAGCCGAGGGTGCGAGTCACAGCACTGCGGGGATCCGCGATGGAACTGGGGACACAGTGGGGAATCCAGGGGCCTGGCCACCCTCCCTGCTTCAAACATCCTTCAAACCACAGACCAGCTTGGCCTCTGTCTCTTTTTAAGACCAAGAAATCTGAGTCACCGTTAAACCCACTCGTCAGACACTCAACAGCATTCTGCTGCCTTGTAGTAGCTCATTTTCTAGGTATAAATCCCACCCCTCCACTCACTCCTATTTGCGTTCTAAGCACCTGGACGGCGACTACTGGCAGTTAAACGAACCGCATCCACACAACATTTCTGCCTTTCTTTGGGATAGAAGAGACTCAAAACGAGGCCTCTGTTAACAAATTACTTCATTCAGAAAGAAACGGCTTTCAGGGGCCTTACTCAACTGTGGACATATAACGTCTGTTTTAAACACTACAGCGTATGACTGCATTCAAATCACCTAGACGCTCTACAAGGGATCAAGAGAAATCCACGCTCCCATCCTAGACTCCCAGACAATGAAACACAGAAGGCTGTTGTCGGGGCCAAGGGGGGTGCAGGTACCTGCGCGGGGCTCGGGACGGCGTCCGTCTGGTTGCCAAGGCCCAGCTGCCCCATCTTGTTCTCGCCAAATGCAAACACGGAGCCTGTCTCTGGAGGCAAAGAAAGAACAATACAAGAGGAGAAACAATGCTGCGGGTTCCGAACTGGGTTTGGGATCAAAGGCCCCAAGTAATAAAAGCAGCTCCTCTGCCAAGGGGAAGGCAAGTGAGATGGTCTTTACTCCGAAAGGTGGTGGGGCCAATGGTTCAGAGCAAAACCATCTCACAGCAGGGACGCCCAGCACCCTGCTCTGGCCTCCACCTCCTCGTAACCTTCTGTGCCTGTGGGTGAGGCGCTCACTGCCTCCCAGAAGCACCCACCCAGGCTCTCTGGGGCATCTTTCGGCTGGTGACCAAGAGTCAGAGGCAGCTCTACCCCACCGCCCACCGTAAGCAGAAACCAGCCCTGCCTTACCCGTCAAGGCCAGGGTGTGGTTCCGCCCACAGGCCGCCGACACAATCACTTCATGGCTGAGACCCTCGATGAGTCTGGGGGCTTCAACTCTCTTGGTGTCACCGTGTCCAAGCTGCCCCTTCTCATTTCGACCTGCAGATCAAGAGCAAGATGAAGTGGGAAGGAGAGGGCAGCCAGAGCAGCTTCCCAAGCAAGCAGGGACACTCTCAAACGGAGGCAAATCTGGGCTCCTAGAAGGTGCCCTCCCACAGCGACAGGCAAGGAGGTGAAGGGAGCTCCAGCTTCTCAGTCAGTGGCCCGCCTTCGAGGGCTGCGGGGCCCCAGCAATGTCTCCGCCACAGCCACCAGCAGCCTGCACCAACCTCTCTGACCCTCTTTCCTGGGCAGCAGCTAGGACCCACCGTGAGCACTTCCATTTGGCCTCATGTCACACACACAGCTCCTGGAAACTCAGTTCTCACTTCTCATGGTCCCTGCCAGACAATTCCCTCATTCCCTTCACCACACGATGTATTTTAAGACGGCAACCATTTCAACACCTGCCTCACAAGAGTTTAATTACCTCAGTGCTCTGGGCATCGACTGTGGCCCATTTGGTTTCTGCCTGTCATTTCTCTTCCTTTATCTGCCCTAAAAATGAAGCTCACTGAGCAGTGCCAACCTCACCTCCTCCGGACCACCCTTCACGGGGTTCCCCACCCACGGGAACCCCAAGTATGGACAACAGCCAGACCCGCTCTGAACACAAGCCCGCCCTCTGCAGCTGTGCTGGCTATGGGGTCAGGTGGCAGGGGGCCTGAGGAGGCAACGCGGGCCGCTGAGCTCCCCCGCAATGCACAGCCCCCCCTCTGGCAAAGCCCTTTAGCTCCAAAGCAGACATGGTGAGTTGTGTGGGCAGGAGCCTGGACACCCCTAAACCTCCCCTAGTTTTCAACACAGGATACAATAGCTCGAAACAAAACAACCCAACTGGCCAATCAATAGCAGGTCCCTTGAGCTAGGGGAAAAACCACACTTGCCACTCAACAATTTGGGAGATCTGGCGAGGTTTTACGGGGTCAAAAGGTCAGGGCAATTTGGGGAAGGTGGTTCACACCCTTCCAACAATGACCTTGACCTTTGGGTCATAGGAAATGAGAGAGCAGCGCCGCTGCCATAAAGCCACTGTCCTGGAGAGGGCTGATGGAGGAAGTGACCGGCCTCTGGTTACATGAGGAAAACCATGTCTGGACATGACCTTTGATTTCAGCCCCCTGGCCAGAGGCAGACACCAGCTTCTAATGGAGCCGCCCAAGTTCACTGTGAAAGGCACTTTAAACACAGAACAAGGCCCGAGCAGCTAGCAGGTGCAACCCCCTCGTGAGTGACGCGAGGTATAGCACTAACGCTCCCAGACACTGGACAGGCTCCTCACCTTAGCATGACCAACAGTAGACTTGTGACCTCCCCACTGACCCGTCACCCCGTCTGCTCATGGGGACATGTCTTTGCCCCAGGGCCAGGTTAGATGGTCTACAGAGTCATCCCCTGCCCACGGGGTCAGCAGAGGGGACATTTTTAGAAGCACCACATAAGTAAAATTTGGTGGAGATCAGGAATAAGATATTTAGAGTTGGGGACGACAGACTGCTGTGCTCAGGGCTAGAACACGAGGTGCGGAGGGGGGGTGCTGAGGAGGCGGGACACACCTCTGCCAACCAGGAGGAAATGAAAACCAATGTCAGCATGTCGTCAAGAGACTATGAAGCATAAATTTGGGCCAGACACGCTTGTTAGCTTTTTTTTTTCCACTGAATGACAAAATTAGCAGTGCAAGGAGAACAGATGTTAATATACTTGAACTTTGGTACAGCAGCTCGTGAAATTACAAAAAATGGTTCAAACAGACCAAAATAAAAATGCAGTCATATGGACTCAAAGCCAGCCAAAGGACCTGAAACAAAGGGTGGGGACAGATGCCGGCACAGGATGGAGGAAGGGTTTGGAGCTACCAGGAGGGTGTGGAGATAAACCAAGCCTCAGTCAATACCTGCACTAACGACCTGGAGAGAAGGGGCAACAGGGCGCAGTGCAATGCCGCCCTCAGCAGGGGACACTGAAATGGGACAGAGCTGGGAGGCAAGGACAGGGACACCTCCTGAGTACCCAGGAGAGGAAATCCAGCAGCAGGGAAAGCCAATCAACTCGGAAAAGGGAAACCATCTAGGGAAATAAAGCAAGAAATGGACAAAACAGGCAATAAGCTACACCACCTGCGTGAGCCCCAGAAAGAGGAAGGACTGCAGAGAAGACGCAGGGCCTGATGTCACGATGGGGCCGTAATGAAAGATGGTGGCATTTACAGTGGCAAGAACAGAGGTCTTACGTCACTGTGCTGCAAATGG